GCAATTCAAAATTCGGATAAGATTTTTTTCTAATATATTATACATCATTCGATGTAGAATTCGATGCTGACCACGAATATCTACATTTTAGCTATAGAAAATTGATTTTTGAGTAAAAAATCTTCAAAATACTAGAAGAGTCTCAAATTTCGAAAAAACCTTCGGTTTCAAAAATATTCAAATTTTTTCTTTTTTGTTGTTCTAACTTTTCGACAGTATGTTTTTCGGATTCAGCATTAAAAACTGAGTATGAGAATGATACTTGATCGAGGTTGAAGTCAAAGATCTATCAAGTATGGACGTCTTGGACTCCCCTGCAAAAAGTTACTAGACAATTTTGCAAATCTATCTAGTTTCTTTTGTGGAAGATGAAGCCCACTTGTCTATTTCATTAGAACCAACATTAAGCGAGCGTTAAAAGTACGTTTCACTTTTTTAGTTATTTTGGTTTACTACTGAGAAAATATATTTTTTCTGAATCATGAGAGAAAAAAATCAGAATTCTGCCCGCAATTCGCTATTTTCTTTATCAAAGCTCACTTTTTTATGTAATAAAATGTCATATTCAGAGTTCATGTCCAAAACCGAGTCGAATGATATACTTTTTTATTCTATCCGACCACCTTTATTTTTTTTCGAATTTTCATGTCGAAAAATTACTGAGAATTTCACTCAAAAATGAAAATCACTAAAACTTTTGAAAGCATATATCATTCGACTGGATTACTCTCGTTTCGTCCCACACTTGTTTCGTCCGCTCTCATTTCGTCCCGTTTATTGTAATGGTATCCCCCGAAACGACAGGATAACATTCCACTCGGTTTTGGACATGAACTCTGAATATGACATTTTATTACATAAAAAAGTGAGCGTCGATAAAGAAAATAGCAAATTGCGGGCAGAATTCCGATCTTTTTCTCTCATGATTCAGAAAAAATATATTTTCTCAGTAGTAAAGCAAAATAACTAAAAAAGTGAAACGTACTTTTAAAGCTCGCTTAATGTTGGTTCTAATGAAATAGACAAGTGGGCTTCATCTCCCACAAAAGAAACTAGATAGATTTGCAAAATTGTCTAGTAACTTTTTACAGGGGAGTCCAGGACGTCCATACTTGATAGATTGCCTTCAACCTCGATCAAGTATCATTCTCATACTCAGTTTTTAATGCTGAATCCGAAAAACATACTGTCGAAAAGTTAGAACAACAAAAAAGAAAAAATTTGAATATTTTTGAAACCGAAGGTTTTTTCGAAATTTGAGACTCTTCTAGTATTTTGAAGATTTTTTACTCAAAAATCAATTTTCTACAGCTAAAATGTAGATATTTGTGGTCAGCGTCGAATTCTACATCGAATGATGTATAATATATTAGAAAAAAGATCTTACCCGAATTGTTAATTAAATGTACCTTACCATTTCACCATCATTACTATCTGTTTTTTCTCCATATAAAGCTGCCGACATCGATGGTGTTAAACTTGCCACTGTTGAACCTCTATTTCGATGAACATTGGCTATGACAGAAAAGCAACCATTTTTTATCAGATTAATGTCTACCTAACAAAGTAATTTTACTTTTATCAGGATAAATATTGTCATCTTCGCGGTCCGATTCTTCTTCAGCTAGTTTTAAATTTTGTGCTTGGACAAGCGCATAATAATTTCCACGTTTATTCATCAATGTATCATGATCACCTTTTTCAATGGTGGAACCATCCTGAATCACAATAATTTTATCTGCATTACGAATGGTCGATAAACGATGTGCAATTACAATAGTAGTTCGTCCTAATTTAAAAATAAGATACATAAAAATGTAAAACATAACTTTTAAAAAACAATTAAATATACCTTTCGATGCTTTCTCTAAAGCATCTTGGACAATCTTTTCACTTTCGTTATCCAAAGCGCTTGTTCTAGGACAATCACATATTACACAGCTTGAAGAAATCCCTCCCTCTATGATATTATGATTCGATTTACACTAGATACCCTCTAAAAAATTATTGTAACTCTTTCATTCAAATATATGTCTCAAATAGAGATATATGGTTCATTTTGACTGTAACGTTCGCAGTGGGCATCCAGACGAATATTTAGTGAAAAGTCGAAAGGACGCTTTTTCAAAATTTAATTAGTATCATCTAGACTTTAATTTTATGGTGTAAAGGTTTTTATTCAACGTGCTCTCTTTTCAGAAAAGTTTAGCAAATAAAAATAGCTTAGAAAATAACCATCTTTTAGGGAAAATTGATTTTTTGCGGGATGAAAATAAATTGAATAAAAACAAGGAAATACTCTTAACGTTTTCACTGGCAGGTGCCCAAAACGCAGTTTCTTCCAGGACCGAATCTAGCGACTAACATAGGCTTTTTCCCAAACCGAACCGTTTACGCGAAAGGTGTGTTCAGTGCAATAAAATCGCGAGACTTAGCCAAGGTTCAATATGGCTCTAAATTATATCGAAACATTCCTCAACATGTCTTGTATTTATCGTGAATGCACAGAACACGCAGTTTTTCCTACACAGTGCTACTTTTTGCGCAGTGCGCTTTTTCCAAAAAAACCCTTGTTTTTGAGGTAAAAGCCACTTCTCTCAGATTAGACAGATTTTTATTATTTTATTCAAACTAATTACATATTCAGAATCAACGTCAAAAACTGTATTGAATGATGTATACTTTGTTAGTTTTATGGATAAAAGGTTTTCTGACAAAATTCAGACCACCTTTTATCGAAAAAAAAGTTTTGTTTGAATTCGACTTTTTTTTACTTCTATTAGTATGTGATACATAATAAGGCCGTATTATGCAAAAATAATCATTTCTTAAGTCAACCAGATGTCTGCCTCAGATTACTGCGGGACAAACTTTTCTGTTGCTCCGAATCGGTCTGTTCTGAAAACATTTACGCGCTTTTCTTCTTGTCTCATTTGTCCGGCGATTTTTTGAAAAATACTCATGACAAAATTTAAGCCTAATTTATTTGATTTTAAGCTTAAAAGTTGTTATATAAGAAAACGATTTTACATCCACTGACTGCCCCAGAATCGAAAGAAAAGAACTGTAAACCGAGTTTTAGGTATAAAACATATTCTCAAATTCAAATCCAGGCTATTTCGCCTGTCAAATCATCGTTAATTGCTCCTATTTATTATAAACTTACGGGTTTAATTTGATAGTATTACTAGAATTAAACATTTAAGGGCAACTCACCACCCATCCCATATTTCTGAAAGGGACTCTCCTTAGAAATAGTGATTTTCGGTCAGAAGA